CAATCCCCATACCAAGTTTGAAGTTCCCAGGCCTAAGTGTTCTTTACTTTTTGATCGGAAACCATTGGCCTCAACCAACTGACCAACAGACAGACAAATGCAAAGCAATATATCCCCACTTCTTTGAAGGGGGGCATAATTAATTTATGTCTGGGACAGAGCCAATTTTGAACATGATGGGATCATGATATATTTAACATTTGTGGAGATCTGAACTATGGGTATTGTTGATTTTGAAGAGAACATTTTCAGGTTTCATCTTTAAAACTATTTTAAGCATCTCGGACTGACTGCATCAGACTATTTAATGTGCAATCTAAAGACAAGTGCGGTCAAATCTAACCTATGATCAAAAGGAGTAAAGATCTTCTATTAATCAATGTCACTTCCAATAGTCTATAATATGGGGAAGTCAAAGGCTGGCCAGGGCTATAGATTACACCTGTAATAATTAATATATAAAAATAAAAAACTATATTTATTGATTTCTATAGCTATCAGTAACTTTTCAGGGTTATTTCTAGTTGGGCGCCACCATTTTTAATGTTATTCACAAATCAATTGCAACTTTTTGACTTAAGAATAATCGTCAAGGTAGTCAAATGGGAGCAGTGCATTCATAGACAGGGTTGTCATTAAGAGGCAGCTGGAGGCAGAAATGCCTGTCTCAAATGCATATTGCGGCGCCTCAAAACTAAGAAAGCACTCTTTGTTTTATGTGATAAAACTGAAAAATAACCGCTTCAAAATACTACCTATATTCCATTAATGTCAAAACCCTCGTGGGACGTAGATATGACTCTTAGACTCCAGAGACAGCTATGAGATATAACTTACAAGGGAACCCGGGAACAAATCCCTAGCTCTTATTGAATTAACCCCTTGGTTCTTTTACATGCCCAGTGTACAGCACTGATACATGCAAGGATTACAAATGATTCTATGAAAAATCTTAATGTCAACAGTGCATCTATAGACTTGTCTACTTTCATCCTTTCACATTACATCTGTTGTTATGTCTTGAAACCTCATTGGAATTGCTTAAGACAAAGTAGCCTCCAAAAAATATGTTTTATAAATAATTATCCATTATAAGAACCTATCCTTACAGGCCCGTACGGCTAGACAAAAGTTCTGGCTAGTCGTACGTGACTCACATATGGCTAGAACTTTTCATTTTGACAAGCCATTCTAAGCGCTTGTCTATGAACACTGATTAATTTCATATTAAATTTGGAAAGACAAGGACTGATAAATTTACAGTATCAAGACAATGGTAGTATTAGATTACCCTGATATACAAATATTTTTATATGCTGTTTCCATTTCTGAAACAATATTTTCTTGAAAAAGTTTCCAATAACCAAAATGTGAATTATCCGAATACCACCACTTTATACGATATAATCTCCTACCTTTGCCAGTGATTGAGCACTTAAAATTGATTCAAAAGATTAAAGTCAGTTAAATGAAATACTTACAAACGCTGATTCTTTGTTTTAGGTAGATAACATCAATATGTCATACAGTAAATAAAATATTTTGGACTTCTTGAATTTTTAAACCGGTCCTCCAGAAATATCACATTTCGTGAAAATTACTTTCAGGAAGTAGAAATATTGTCTAATTGGAAATCAACGTAACAAGTTTCTGTCTTTGAAAACTTTATTTTTCGTTAACCGTAATTTCAAGTAAAGACGATGGATAGAAGTTCAGAAGAAGATGATTTACAAAATGCTTCAGATGACTGTCCTATGACAGAGGTGTTTTTTCTCTCTACTTTTTTGAAAGGATAGATCTACTTTCTCTTTCATTTTTTAAAAACCAGAAAAATCCTGGCAATGACCAGTGATGACTGTGGTTTGAACCAAAGATTTCTCATTCATTAAAATGACACGGAACCACAATGATGAAATTGAACTTATTAACTCAAAGCAGTTGGAATCTAGCCTAATTAATTTGGCGTGAACGGTTTGACCCATTTTACAGACTTTTTTTTTCTTACTGTCAAACCGTTACGCCTAATTTTAACTGTCATTTTTACGCACGGAAAATCTACCGGCAACACTATCGATAGTTTGGACTGATTTTTACTGCTTAAACCTGAAAGTAACTTCAATGTCCTCTAAAAATCAATAGAATATAAATTCTAGTACTAACTTCTCCTAGAAAAAATATTAGATTGTACCTGTCTTAACGCATACATGCGATTTATTTCAAATTTGTACTGTATACACTATCTCCGGTGGACATGTTATGACGTCATCGTAAAAAATCGATTCCGTGAAAGCTGGTAGTAGCAACCAGTGTGTCTAGCAGGTAAGTGTGGGTTACGCATGAAGATTAAACTTCAAAAAAATATCGGGGAAATAAATCTATTCATTATTTTTAAATAAATTTGTGCATTATTAAATACTATTGAAAAGTATCAATGTGTTAAACCTAAAATACAATGGTAGCAAATAGGCTCCATACAAGTACTGTTGTTTAATATTTTTTAAATGTTTTAATACATGTACTCAACATTTATCAATAGATGGTTTGCCTTCTTGTTTACTGCTAATGACTGCCGATAAAATACTGACTTCATTTATACATGCATATTTAAATGACAATTAAGAATATAAAAGAAATAAAGGAATTCTTTTTCACCTATTGCTGATTCATATTATAATACCATATTAAACCTACTGATAGGTCTCTTGACATACTTAATTAATTATGCCCCCGCCATGTAATGGCCGGGGCATATAGTGTTACCCTGTTCCGTCATTCTGTCATTCCGTCAAATTTGACATATGGATATGTCATGAGAAAATACAGGTCAAGTTTGAATTTGGTCATGGTTCAACGATTTTTGGCAGAGTTATGCCCCTTTTACTTTGAAAATAATATGAAATTTTCAGTTTCCGTTCATTATCTCCCCAACGGTACAACACATTCAACTCAAATTTGACATATGGATATGTCATGAGAAAATACAGGTCAAGTTCGAATTTGGTCATGGTTCGATGATTTTTGGCAGAGTTATGCCCCTTTTACTTTGAAAATAATATGAAATTTTCAGTTTCCGTTCATTATCTCCCCAACAGTACAACACATTCAACTCAAATTTGACATATGGATATGTCATGAGAAAATACAGGTCAAGTTTGAATTTGGTCATGGTTCGATGATTTTTGGCAGAGTTATGCTCCTTTTACTTTGAAAATAATATGAAATTTTCAGTTTCTTTTTATTATCTCCCCAACAGTACAACACATTCAACTTAAATTTGACATATGGATATTTTTTTGGAATGCCCAGGTCAAGTTCGAATTTGGTCATGGTTCAATAATTTTTGGCAGAGTAATGCCCTTTTCACTTTGAAAATAATATGAAATTTACAATTTCTGTTCATTATCTACACCTCAGGGTTACATATTCAACTCAAATTTGACATATGGATATGTCAAAGGAATGGGCAGGTCAAGTTGGAATTTGGTCATGGTTCGATGATTTTTTTGGCAGAGTTATGTCCCTTTCACTTTGAAAATAATATAGATACATCTTAGGAATAGGCAGTTTAAGTTTGAATTTGGTCGTGGTTCAATGATTTTGGACAAACTTATCTTTCTTGAATATTGGAAAAAATTTTGAACTTTCAGTTTCAGCACTGATACTTTTGTGGAAATGTATGTAGCCATTATTTTGGCTACAAATATGAAATATGCTATTTTCAAAAGGATAAGACTGAATAATTTCAGTGCCTTGAACATTGTATGAAAATGGATTGTGTTAACATTGAAAAGTTTTAAGGGCTTTGAACTTAAAATGAAAACAATAATTTGTGCAAACAAATTTGGAACTAAATATAATAACATCTGAAATTTTGGCTGCATGCGGGGGCATCCGTGGCATGATGACACATTTCTAGTTTACTAAAAAAGGAACTTTATTGTGATCCAGCCATATGCTGTGTAACTATAAGGGAAGGGTCACATATTTTAATTGAAATAAATTTTAAGTAGAGGATATTAAAAAAAATGTCATTGAGAAGATAAGAATTTTCAAATGAACAGATTAAGAGACTTATACATGTATAAGGTGTATGTCTTGTTGTTTCATACTGTTTTGGTGACACTTTTGTTTGTGTCCCTTGTTGTTTTCTCGTCTATGGTAAGTATCTTCCCTTTGCCCCTAGTTTTATTTCTTTATTCCGCCCCCTCCCCCTTCCCGAATTTCCTATCCCCTACCACTGTGCCAGTTTACTTAATGGTCCTATTAATCATTCATTTATTTATTTTCTTTGATTTTGATTTCCTTGTATGTTACCATTATTTCTTTATATTTATCATTTTGTATCATTTTAGTGATAAGCCAGACCGTGCTCTCTCTTGCGCCGTCCTGTTTTTGTTTAGGATCCTCCTGGGTTCCTTGCAAATGGTTCTTGTTCCTGGGTCGTGCGGGGGTTGCGTTCATTGAACGCGGCCTTTCCTTGTTCATCTTGTTTATCATATTTTATACTTGTATACCGAACCGAGCCATAACAAACAGATAATGATTATCAATACAAGGTTCGACAAGCAAGCAAAGAAATGTAAAGAAAACAGAAAAAACTTATCCACATATCCGCCCTCCAAAAAAAACACCAAAAAAAACCCGCCTGAAACTGCAAAACCGAAACATAAATACACATGGGTACCAAAGACGGCTGTGGTAGGTACATGTGCTCCCTTGCGCCGGTTTCAACAGAATTCATCACTTAAACATAATAATGTAGAAAATTTAATCAACACCCACAGATGTGTACAAAGTACGGCGGTAATCATGGAACTTTCAATGCAACACATTTGAGGTGCCGTTCAATGAAAAGCGGGAACTAGATAACATGGAATTTTAAATGGATATAGGTTTTGGTGTCATTTTGCGACATTCGTTCTAACAGACGACTACAGTAATCTAATCAGACTATTTCTCCCATCTGTCTTACATTGTTATGCTACTCTACGTCTTAAATAAGGGTCACTAAATTTCCGCTTGCTGCGTTTTTATCATAAACCCCGTCATATCTGTTCGACAATTGCATTTTACTGAGGACTGTCTGAAATTCCATTTTATAGTTTGAAATTTTAAGATTTTTTTCTCAGAATTTAAAGTTATTTTAGGTTGTTTTGAACTTCTTCCCCTACACAACTGTCCTCAATTTTTTTAAAGATTATAAACTAGAAATTGATAGGGAGTTTAATATAAATTGAAATTCTTCTTTGCTTCATCATGTATAGTATACTTATAATTCATTAATATGTACCTACAATTACATTGTATTTTCATATGTGCAAAATCATGGCAGGGTTATAAAATAAAAAGGCAGTTCAGAAATTTCACCTAATGATCACAGATGTTAAAAAATCCGACATTACAATTTCTAATTTGACAATTTAAATGGACTTTTAAAATGCAGTATGATCTGACGTCGGACATCTAAGTATGGTTATCAGAATATCCTTTTCACATTTTATTTTTAATGCGTGAAAAAAAAAGTTATTCCTGCATAATTCATAATAAATAACTTAAACAAATTATATTATAAAGCTTGACAAATACAATCGATTGCCGCCGATACCTGTGTTACACCATGGAAATTTTACAATTTTACCCTGTTTTACCCTATCACCGCTTGCGTCATTTTCCAATATGGCCGCTTACAATAATTTTCAACGATTTAAAAAGTTAAAGTGGAATATTTAGACTTGTGTTCGACTTTAAAGTATGATAACTTGGAACCTTGCATAAAAAACGGTCCTCTTTCAGGTAATGTAGACCGTTTCTTTGAAACTTTTTTAGTTTTCGCTCCCAACAACTTCTAATTGGGAAGCGTCCGTGCATAAAAATGCAGTTCGTGGTTGGACTTGGAAAAAGACAGCGCCCGTCCAAAATTATCTCGGTGTCTCTTTGACAAGTCTAATTTGTTGGACTAGTTGGAATCAGTCTAAAAGTCTGTGGCTGAGTGGTTAAGGTCGTTGACTTCAAACCACTTCCCTCACCGCTGTGGGTTCGAATCCCGACAGGGACTTTGGATTCTTTCATATGAGGAAGCTATCCAGCTAGCTTAGTCGGAACGTCGGTGGTTCTACTCAGGTGCCCGTTCGTGCCTGAAATAATGCACGGAAGGGCACCTGAGGTCTTCCTCCACCAGTAAAGCTGGAATGTCGCGATATGACCTATACTGTGTGGATGTGACGTAAACCCCCCCCCCCCCCCCCAAAAAAAAAAAATGAGTCTAAACCATTAAATTTTAATCACTAGGCTATTGGCTAGGTACTGTACAGAAGTCTATTTTAACCAATTAATATATATTGAACAAGGTTAGCTTTTAAAAAAGCTAGTAGCGACTCGCTTCGTAATTTCTTTCCAGGGGCGTGTTTAAATGTAAAAATGACAGTTCTGTTAGCTGAAAAGACTTCAGCGAACATCAAAATAAAAGTGACATATAAAGTTAAGGAAGCCAGTTCTCTCAGTTTAACAAAGAGGAATATGAGTATATATGAAGATGTAAACAGATAGAATGAAGTCCCTATGTCTATGCACATTTACTATATGGCCTGTTGACCTTGACCAGAAAAAAAAAATAGATAAGTAGAATTCATAAAAATGTCTCTTTATACGAAGTTAAGTTGTAATATGTTATTTAGTATTGAAATAAGTGACAGATACTAGTCCTAAAGTAAACACAAGTTGTCTATCAATTCAGCCAGAAAAGCCGGGATCCTATTAAAAAAAT